TGGGGGGTCCTGAAGGGAGAGATAGACACTTCAATTTCCCTCAGAGACCTCAAGACAAAGGGGAGTTTTCTGGCATCCATAGGTTTTCTAGGGGTGCTGGGATGTTCCCCTGGGCCAGATTTAGTCTGGCCTCATCTCCAAGCCAAGAAGCCATGTTCTGGGTAAGACCATTAGTTGATCTTGCAGCTCTAAGTGGAAGAGGCTGAGTTTGCTTTCCCCACTGAGGCCTCTCTGCTCCAACCTTCACAGCCGGGGCCTGTCATCCCTGACTGCAGCAGCGTGTGGCCTGATTTCTAGGAGCGGGAGAAAGGCAGCTAGAGGGTCTGTGATCTCAAAGAAACAATTCTTCCAGCTACTGAAGGGCCAAAGCCACCATAGAAGAGGGAGCAAATAATGTAGAGTGCTCAGATAACAACTGGAACATTCTTATTTTATAAAGGTCAGACATGCTGTTCTTTTATTTGAGTCAACAATTTTATTAGCTGGAGTAAAATAAGATTAGGGATCCCACTGGCCTCTCATATAGAGAGGGATAGCCTGGAAACTCCTGACCTCAACTGAAATCTTACCATAGAAGAAAGACCACCTTTTCTCTCCCAAGCAAAGCTAGTGACTAAATGAGCCTCACTGTCTTACATAGCCAATCCTGAGCCTTTCCAGATTGTCAAATGAGTGAGGCTCTGTGTCTGCTCGTTCAGTATTGGAAGACCCAAAACAGCAGTATGGCTTCAGGGTTTGGCGAGAACATGGCATCCATAGTTGGATGATGTTGGGTCTACCTCTAGGCTTACAGCTCCTGGTTGGAGGACCTCAGGAACATCAGCTCCTCTCCCTGGAAGGTCAAAGCCCAAGATCACCCAGTTCTTCCCAGTTTTCAGTTCAGTTCTCACAATGCAGGGCAGGTCACTGGTCACTGCAGCAAGGCTGACCTCACTCTCAGAGATCCTCATTCTCAGCTTCTCAAAGAGTCAGATTTTCTTGTGTAGAGTGAGTGTGTAAAGATTGAGTCCTCTTGGTGTTTATCACCTGAGTACCTCAAAAGTGCCTTCAGGCTTCACCACTGTTATCCCAGTATGTCAGTCAAAGAGAACAGTGGTGAAAAGCAGAGAGGGAGATTTAATCAGTGTGTTGGGAAGAGGAACAAGT